CTCTTTTACTCCTACGGCTACTATAGCTACAGGTACTCCTGCTCTTCATGTTATAGCGGGAAAACCTACTTGGGTTCTGGATTCCGGAGCCAATGATCACATGACTGGTGAGTTGTCATTATTTTCTATTCCCATTGCCTCTGTTAATCAGGCTGTTAGTCTAGCCGATGGGTCAACCACCTTTATTCGTAATAAAGGAGATGTTCATTCTTCCCCTAATATTATTTTGCCATCTATTCTTCATGTTCCTAACTTTGCATTTAATCTTCTAACTGTTAGCAAACTTGCCAAATCACTAAACTATGCAGTGATATTCTTTCCTCATTACTATGTTTTACAGGACCTGTGTTCAAAGAGGATTTTTGGCAAGGGATATAAGCACGATGGCTTCTACTACTTTAAGGATCCTCCACCGACACCTCCTCCACTTTCTTCAAGCCTTCAAGCCTCTATTCTTCCAGTTTCTAGGTCTTATGATTTTTCTTTTTAGACTTTAGATTTATGGCATGCTTGCCTTGGGCATGTAAACTTTCAGTATTTATGTCTGTTTTTCCCTTCATTAATAACAGCATGTAAGGATAATATGTATCAATGTGAGATTTGTGAGCTTTCTAAATAATACTAGAACCAGTTGTATTTCTCATATGCATCGTGCACCTAGTATGTTTGATCTCATACATTCTGATGTGTGGGGTCCTTCACCCGTTATTACTTTTTCGGGGTATCGTTATTATATCACATTCATTGATGATTATTCCCGCTGCACATGGGTATATTTACTTGAAAAAAAAATCTGAAGTTTTTCCCTTGTTCACTTAATTCCTCCAAATAATCAAAACTCAATATAAAACTGTTGTTAGGAATATTAGGTCTGACAATGGTCGTGAATATGTTTCCAATGAGTTTCGGTCTCAACTTAACCAACATGGTATTCTTCATCAGCTTACTTGTCCATATACCCCTGAACAAAATGGTGTGGCAGAGCGTAAAAACCGTCAACTAATGTTAGTTTTTCGATGTCTTTTAAATGGTATGAATGTGCCAAAGTCATTTCATTAATCGTTCCCTTAGTAAAGTATTAAATGGTAAGGCCCTCTTACAACTGCTTCAGCCTGATATTACTCTTTTTTCCGTCATGCGTGTTTGGATGTACATGTTTTGTTCGAAATCGTAGCCCTTCTCCTACTAAACTTGATGACAAGGCCATTAAATGTATCTTTTCAGGATACTCTTCCATGTCAAAAGGTTACCGGTGTTATGATCCTGTACACAAACACGTGTATCACTCTCTTGATGTCACCTTTCATGAGCATACCCCTTTTTATGGTTCTAACACTATCTTGCAAGAAACTTCTACTCCCGATCAAGAGGCGTCTCCTCTTGCTCGTCCTCTTCCTATTTTTCAAGAAGAGTCTTCTCTTGTGATTTCCTCACCCTTTTTGCAGGTCTATTCTCATCGCCCTCGTGCTCCGTCTCCACTGCCTTCATCCTCCTCAGATATAGGTTCAAGTACATCTCTCTCTCCTTTACATTTTCCTAACCCTGTTCTTGAGCCTTGGTATCCCACTTGGGACCGCAAACCCCCTGCTCGATTTGGATTCGCTTATAGTACTAGTCATCCTATTTCATAGTATATCTCTTTATGATGGTCTTTCAGGGTCTTATTGAGCCTGTTTAGGAAAACTTGATTCCATTTCCATTCCCATAAATGTGTCTGAGGCTCTCCGAATCCCAATTGGATGTTAGCTATGAAGATTAAAATGGATGTTTTGCATCATAATGAAACATGGGAGCTTGTATCTCTCCCTCCTGGTGAAAATACTGTTGATTGCCAAATGGGTATTCAGTGTTAAATATCTAGCTAATGCCTCTATTGATTGGTATAAGGCCCGTTTGGTGGCCAAAGGGTTTACTCAGATTCCTGGTAAAGACTTTAACGATACCTCCACTCCAGTGGCTAAATTAACCTCATTTTGTTTGCTTGTCTCCCTGGCTGTCTCTCATAATTGGCCTCTTCATCAGCTTGATGTGAAGAATGCTTTCCTTAACAGTGATCTTCTTGAGACTATTTACATGGATCCTCCACTTGGTTTTTGGACTGAGGGGGAGTATGCTGGAAAGGTTTGTCAATTGCGGAAGTCTTTGTAATTCTATCCATGGAGTTTGTTAGATGCCATTCTAACTGTTAGCAGTTATGATAGCCACGATTTATAGAATGACTTACCGTATTAGCAGATATTTAATTATGCTGTAACATATGCCATAAAATATGCTTTAGAATATGCTTTGATTTGATTTAGATTTAATTTACTTTCCTTTCTTGTAATATGAGCATGTGCTCTTTTTATCTATAATTACTAGAGCTGTAAATGAGTGATTCATCTCATTCAAGCCTTTACATAATTCTCTCATTTATCCTCTCTTTCTTTTATATTGTATTTCTACTTGGTATCAGAGCCAGGGTGGTCCAACTGCAATGAGGGCATTGTCAGTTCGGCATCACCCATTCGGGAATGGTCTAAGGTTACATCGCCCATCCGGGAGGTGTCGGGTAGGCAAGGTGGTCCAACCTCAATGAGGGCGTTGCGAGTTTGGCAGCACCCATTCAGAAATGGTCTGGGGAGACATAGTTGTTTCTTTTTATGGTCTGAGAAGACATAGTTGATTCTTTTATTTACATTGTTTAAACATATGTATGAAGGGGAATGGTCTAAGGAGACATTATTGATTCTTCCATCTACATATTTTAAACATGTGTATGAAGGGAAATGGTCTAAGGAGACATTGTTGGTTGTTTACAGTCTGAGGAGACATGATTGGTTATTTATGGTCTGAGGAGACATTATTAATTGTTTATAGTCTGAGAAGACATTTTTGATTTGTTGATCGGCACTTCATCTGAGCTAAAATCATCGCTAGTCAAATTTACACTCCATTTGTCACAAGCTAAGCAGCTTACAAACATTCTTACAAAAGGCGTCAACAAGATTGTATTTGAGAATGCATTGTCCAAGACATTTTTGATTTGTCGATCGGCACTTCATCTGAGCGAAAATCATCGCTAGTCAGATTTACACTTCATTTGTCACAAGCTCTAAGCAGCTTGCAAACATTCTTACAAAGGGCGTCAGATATCCACGCACCAACTTGAGGGGATTTGTTAGCAGCGATGATAGCCACGATTTATGGAATGACCTACCGTATTAGCAGAGAGATTTGATTATGCAATAAAATATGCCATAGGATATGCTTTAGAATATGCTTTGATTTGATTTAGATTGGATTTAATTTATTTTCTTGTAACATGAGCATGTGCTATTTTTATCTATAATAACTAGAGTTGTGAATGAGTGATTTGTCTCATTCAAGCCTTTACATAATTCTCTCATTTCTCTTCTATTTCTTCTATATTGTGTTTCTACTCTAACTATATATGTTTTATCCACCGTTTCTCCACTGGTCGATGTATCATTCTTGTTGTCTATGTTGATGATATCATCTTTACAGGCAATGACATCCCTGGGATTGCTCAAGTAAAGCTTCAATTGGCTAAAGCTTTTGATGTAAAAGACCTTAGGCAGCTCAGATATTTCTTAGGAGTTGAGGTTGCTAGATCTAAGTAGGGTGTCTCTTTATCGCAAAAGAAGTATGTCTTGGATCTACTTCGAAACATGCGTATGCCTGGGTGTAAACCTGCTTCCACTCCTATAGATCCCAATATGAAGATCTCGGTTGGGTCTAGAGATCTCCTTTCTAATCCCTCGCTGTGTCAGCGCTTGGTAGGAAGATTGATTTATCTTACCAACACCCGTCCTGATTTGGCTTTTGCGGTTAGTGTTGTGAGCCAGTTTATGCATGCTTCTCGTACAGCTTATATGGATGCAGTATATCATATTCTTCGATATCGTAAGTCTTGTCCTGAACTTGGATTATTCTATTCTTCTAGCAAGCCAAGTTGGGCTATCCTGTTTCAGTGATGCAGACTATGTTGGGTCCAAGGCTGACAGACGTTCCACATCTGGCTTATGTACTTTCTATGGAGACCATCTTATATCTTGGAAAAGTAAGAAGCAACCTGTAGTTTTGAGATCTTCAGCAGAGGCTGAGTATCGTGCCATGACTTAGGGTACTTGTGAGATTCTCTGGCTTCGATCTTTTTTGGAGGAGCTAGGGCTATAAGTGAAAAACAGTCCTCAGACTTGTTTTGTGATAATAAATCAGCCATCATGCTTGCTTCAGATTCTGTTCTTCATGAGAGGACTAAACATATAGAGGTGGACATTCATTTTATTAGAGAGAAGGTTCGTTTGGGAATTATCAAGCCGTGCTTTATTCGATCGTCTAATTAGTCGGCCGATGTGTTCACCAAATCCGTTGGTCCATCTTTGCTTCATTCCTCAATTACCAAGTTGGGCTTGATTGATATCTTCACTCCAGCTTCAGGGGGAGTGTTGAAATATCTTTATTAATATTATTTTTATTAGCTGTTTTTAGCCTTTTATTAGGTGTTTTATGTAAAATCACTATAATCATGGGATCACGTAGATAAGATCCCCGTAATCATGGGATCACGTAGATTTTGGCATATTTCTTGTTTTTCTTTGATTTGTTTCCCTTTCTTTGTACCCTATTCTTGTATATAAATATAGCTCTTGGCTCTCGGTTTGAGTATGCCAAAACCCAAAACTTCTTTTGTTGGCTTAGCTAGGCAGTATAAACCTTTACAATGTAAACCAATGCACCAATAAGAGAAAGATAAAAACTAATATGGGACAAAAATAATATGAAAAGATCTTTTGAAATGTATAGCTTGTTAAAAATAGAAAGAGGGAAAGCAAAATAGTGAAAAAATAATATTTCATATGATCAATTCCATTCACTGGATTCAAAATAAGGATGATGATAAGGACACTGATGATGAATTTTAAAGGCATGCGTCAATCACACAATATGCAACACTCCTCCACTCCACTAATTTCTTGTACATTTCTGTCTTACAGTTTGTTAACCTTACAAAAATCATGTCTGAGAACAAGGATATGTCAAAGAAGGAGGCAGCTTTTGCACTTGCTGCACTCATGGAAATTCCATATCAGTACAGAGCCACCCAATGCCGTCCTTTCATTGAGTAATAATGGCAGCTTTAGATTCTTACTAATGTTTCATTTCAGTAAAGGAATTTGGTAAACATTCTAATTTCTTGCACTTCTTCTGTAGAAATGCAGGAGCTCCAAGGACAAAGCCGCTTCCTCCTCCACGTGAAGTGATAGAACATGATAATTCTGTTAAATCATTTGCTCATATGACTAACTTTGAATCAGTCAAGCAAACAGCATCAGTGGATCTAGTAGGTTTTCTATTATCTAACTTGTATTCCTTTTCTGGTAGGGATAGGGGGTTGAGAGATATTTTGGTTGTGTTTTACCAGGTTTGTCCGATTTGCCTCACAAATCGAAAGGATATGGCTTTTGGGTGCGGCCATTTGGTAAGCATTTTGTCTTAATTTCATTTGTCAGCATTAAGATCAACATGTTGTTTATACTATAAATGTACAGATTTTTTGGGATCAAATTCAAGGAGGAATTCTTCTAACTAAAATTGCAATATTATTTTTCTCTTCAACCAAGTTTATTCCTTTATCTTTTAGTAACAAAAGTGAATCCTACTTATTTTGGGTAGAGGTTAAAGGGAAATAATTTCGTGGCTGAAAGAAAAAAGTATTCAGCTAAAATTGCACTGTTTTCATTTTCACCATTCCTCTCTCGAACTGAAGTTAAAATTTTTGGCTACAGTTTTACACTAATTAAACTATCTTCTTTCTACCAACTGCTGTAGCCTAGTGGTATCTCCTCTACCTCCCAAAGTAAGGGGTGAGGGTTCAAGTCCCCATAGGGGCAAATGGGCGTGTGAGTTTCTTGCCTAGGGAGAAAAAAAAAAACTATCTTCTTCCTGAAGTATGGAATATATTTTTCCCTTCAGCAATTTTGTGCTTCATTTTTTAATATAGCAACTTCAATTTTTTGGCGGGAGAGGTTTTGAAGAAACAATGGTTGAATGGATATTTTTTTTTTAATTGAGGTAAAGTTACAATATATATATATATATATTGCCTTGCATTTATATATATATATATATATATATATATATATTGTTATTGATGTTGTTTATAAGTAAGATAATGTTTTGCATATATCAACAAGCCCAAGGCAAGTACAAGCTACATGGGGGCAAACCCCAGGATCGTTGAAGAACAAATAAAAAAACCCCAATACCACCAACCAATTAAAAGCCAACTGGTTTTCCCAAAAGCAATGAAGAAATCTACAGCCCAAACGATCTACATGAGATAAATTTGTGTGTGTGGAGAGTCAGGGGACTCTGTTACCCTGTACAAAATTTATATGAACATCAGTTGGTTACCCATATAGTGATTTAATAGAAAATCGAGGCATTGAGAGAACTGAGGATGGACCAGGTGCTAACCTTGATTCTGCTGGCCTTGTATCTTGAAAAGGGAAACAGATAGAAAAATGCAGCCAGAGAGGAGATGTAGTGAACTCCATTCGGCCAGGACATAGCAGGAGAAGTAGAGAGGATGAGAGACATCATTTAAAGATGGAGTTGGGCAAGTTCCATTCTCTAGTCAACCAGGTTTTGGCTGATAGCGGTTTCAATATAATATGGTCCAGAATTAGCTTGAGGTTATGACTGCTATCATGGGTGCAATTCTCATGGACTCTAGCATTCCTTTCCCTCCACAGGCCATATACTGAGCATATTAAGCAATTAAGTTGAGCCTTTTTGTAAAGCCTCTACCTGAAAGGTTAGTATAAGCTTGTTGCAGGGTCTGATCCGAGCTTCCAGAGGGCCAAGCAGCAGCACACTTGGCTTTGATGCAGTTCCAGATTTGTATACTGAGACTATGCTAAAAAAAATATAGATTAGTGTGGGTTTCAACTGTTTCTCTGCATAATAGACGGGTATCATGTTGCAAAATTCCACTCCTTAATCTTGTCCAAATTTGTAAACTTCCTCGTAATCAGCCATAAGATAAATGAACGTTTGGAGACACAAGCAGAAAACCAAACAATCCTGGTCCATGGCAAGGAATATCTCTTAGGCCTCAGTTCATTCCAGACCTGCTTAATGAGAAACTAGTCTGAGGATCTCCAAAAGAGTTGATCAAATTTATGGGGTCTGAGAATGAACAGAACCACAGATCTCTCTTTTAATGTCAGAGGGCTCAGCTGATATGGAGGAAGCTCTCACAGACCAATTCCAGTCAGCGTTAGCAATAATGGCACAAACTCTGGCTGTATCACCAAGGCTTGAGGTTGGATTGATCCTGTTGCCTTTAGAGAGAATGATGGGGCCTTGAGGAAGCCAGTTGTCATAAGCCGTCAAAGCTTGAGATTTGAATGATCTTGCTGCCTTTAGAGAGATTGATGGAGCCTTGAGGAAGCCATTTGCCATACCACAAGGAAGTATCTTTTCCATCCCCAATCCTATGAAGAAAAAATCTTCTAACTTCATTCCTTAAATTCAGAATGTTCCTCCAACTCCATCTACAGTTTGCCGGAGTGGAGATACTCAAATTTCTCTGCTTGATGAAGGCTGAAGAATATGCTGCATGTATCTAACAACGGATGCTCTGTTCGAAAAGTGAATGTTTTTGATGCCAAACCTCCTTCCATAGCAAGGAAGCAAATGTCACTCCATTTGACCTTAGCTCCTCCTTTGTCTAGAGTGGTATCCAAAGAAACCTACAAAGAATTTGATTGATGCTTTTGATGGCAGCTTTAGGGGGGATGAATCGAGTTGACCAATTGGCCTGGATAGAGAATAAAACAGACTTCTTAAGCTGGATCTTCCCATCAAAGAATAGCGGCTTATTGGTCCTAGACTTGACTCTGGATGTGATTCTGTTAGTCTGCGCATAGTCATAGTGATAAGTTTAACTCCTAAATACCTCATTGCGAAAAAAAATGTTTTTTTTTTACCAATAGGCCAGTAGCCCAGCGGTACCAGGCCCCTACTTTCCAAAGGGAGGCTAGAGGTTCGATCCTTAGAGGAGGCAGCAGTGCAGGCCCTACTTCCCAAATTGCTTTAACTTCCAAACAAAAAAAAAAATGCCTTTTGGTAATTTTAGAATATCCAAGATCTCTATAGCAACTTCTAGCCCGGCCATGAACACACATCATTTGTTGTTGTTAGGGGTGAGACCAGATAAAGAATTGAAAGTCAGATGTGCTTTGATAATTTGACTGTGTCAATGTGAGGAATCGAGAGAAGAGAGGAGGAGGGGGGGATTGGTCCTTTTAGAAACTTCTTTGCCTTGGTTTGGTCAAATATAATAGATACAATGCAGTAGGTTGAAAGCTTTAAGTCAATAAACCAGGTACACACAATATTTACAAGGAAAACCCTCTCAATAGAGAAAAACCTTGATTCTTGGCCACAACCAATAAAGCTCCTCTAGTTGTATGCAAGTAGTTACACACTTAGTTGTCTCACACTCTGCACACACCCATATACAAGTTGAAACCCTGGCTTTCACAGCCTCTACACACAAACTAGTTCAACACAGTACTCACAGGCACTCCCCCTGTCCTAAGCAACCCTAATTAGACCCTATAAGCTCTCACAGCTCACCAAATACAATATAAAAGATGAATATCAACAATGTTTAAGCATACACAATAGATAAGAGTGGTTGTGCAACTCAAAACTTCAAACAGCGTCAATAAGCTTCATTTTGCAACTCAACAAGTCTCGAGGGTAAAATGGTAAATCAGCAACAACATAGTCCTTCATAGAGTTTCAATAATGATATATCAACTGTATATACATGCTACAATGAATAGATCAATAAGTATAGCAAGGTACTACAATTTCAGTCTTCAACAGAGCTTGAAACCCTAACAGTTGAGGTTCACAAGGCCAAATATAGCTCTGACCATTTTTCAGGATAGATCTCAACTTTAACAGCCCCAAATCTACAATATAAATGTGCTCAAATGATAAGAATTCAACTCACAGCAGTAGGTTTGAGACATCAAAACTAACTACAGCAAGAATATGTGTATAAGCAATGATTATGCAGTTGTCAAGTAGTAAAACAAACTTGTTTCAACCTTTGAGATGCTCTAAGAATGCTTCAGATAAAACACATAGCCTTAAACCAGCAAAACAACACCAAAAACCCTTCAGCAGTGGCTTGGATCTTCATTTGCAAATTGATACACACAAGGCATGAATTTCTTGATGTATTCAGACTTCAATATCATGTAAAAACTCCATGGCAAAAGATGTCTCGAGTAAATATTGCTGCAAGACCCTTAGGAAGCTCAAGGATGCTCAAAGGTGCTCATGAGAGTGCTCAGGATGCTCACAGTTTTTGCTTAGCAAAGAGGCACAGATTTATCACAACATATTTATAAGCTACAATCATCTTGTAGTCCTACCCTAAAGAGGAAAATGCTCTTGGTACAATTCTCCAATCATTTGTCAGAGAATGTTCATTGAGAAAGAACCAAAAAGCCTCTTTTACAATTTGTCTTGTAGTGTAGCCACTTAACAGCTTTGCACAATGTGTATATCAGCCGTCATCACTAAGTAATCCATTTGAGCATTTTGTTTCTCTCCCAAGGACGACATAGCTTGTGTATCACACTTGAACAACAAGCAGGACCACCGAAATGGCCTTGTGACAGTCACATGAATATTGCACCAGAAAATTGAAACTGTGACTGTAAAATTAATAATGTAGCTTAATTTACAGTTGTCCATTGTAATGTAGTGTGCTGGGCAAATGTAAAAAGGTGTAATACAACTATGAAATGACTATAGTGCCCCTGAATAAACCTGTAGCTAAAATTCAGCTTTTAAACCTTAGTTAAACCAAAAAAAGGAACCCTTAAAGCTGTATAATTGCAATGTGGCATCTATTCTCAATGAGAACCTGTACCACAAGATGGCAAAAGACTATATTGCCCCTGAAGGATGATGTGAGCCATAGAGAACATCAATGATGAAGGTATAAGCCCTTGACATACTAGAAAACATATGATTTTGACATTTAAATAGGCAAATCCTAAAACATAAGGTGGGACCAACACAATGTTCCCTGCAACAAAGACAAAAAGGTCATCTGTAAATGAAAGGTTGGTAATTATATGGTCATCACATTTCTAGTGGTATTTGATGGAGGGGTGTTGGAATTTTTGCTTTAGAATGGGTTTGAGAGCTTCCATAACCACAACAAACATGTTGGAAGGTAAGGGGGTGGTTGGAATTTTCGCTTTAGAATGGCTTTGAGAGCTTCCATAGCCACAACAAACGTATAGGAAGGTAAAGGGCTCAACCCCCTTTTTTATTTGAAAAGACCCCTTTAATTCTCTGTTGGAAAATCAGAAAGATATTTGGCAGTAATTACCAAGATTGAATAGTTGTAAATTAGGTAGTGATTAGTCAATGATTATAAAT